ATTTCATTAACGAATTTGATTAATTTTTGTAGGCATCTGGATACTACTATGTATGGAGATTATCCACAGATAATGAAAGACATTGTTGGACATAGATTGCCTAAGTTTACTGATCAGCAAAAAGCAAAATTGAAAAACTCAGCCGATTTCGTAGGGCTCAACTACTATACTTCAACGTTTTCAAACCATTTGGAGAAGCCAGATCCTGCTAAACCAAAGTTTAGGCAAGATTCTCTTATTACTTGGGAAAGTAAGTTTTTCTCTCCTTAATTACTTGAAATCGAACGAAGAAAAACCAATGCCAACAAATCAAAGGAAAATGGTTTGTATTTGGTACTAATCAAAATGTATCTTCTTTTCAGATAAGAATGTGGACCATGACAGCATTGGTAGCCAGGTATGCAATTAAATAGAGTTATAGCAATTTGGGATTATAAATTTTAGATGAATATTGACAATGATATATAGTTTAGAAATTTGTGCTAATCACGTGATTGTGTCACTATCCAAGTTCTAAAATAATGCATATGTGGTAATTAAAAAAAAAAAAAAATCAGATAAATATTATGTTTTTGTTTATGATGTAACACGAACACCTTTGTTCTATTTCAGCCATTAACCGCTGCACTCCCTGTTTACGCGAGAGGCTTTAGAAAAATTTTGAAGTACATCAAGGATAAATACGGAAACCCGGAAATCATGATCATGGAAAATGGTAACTACAGATTCAGTTATTATCGTTTAATTTACTCCTATTTTGTTCATCGTGTTTCAATTGTGATGCTCTTTTTAGGATATGGAGATGTACTTGGGGCCAAAGATTCCGTTGAAGTTGGTACTGCCGATCATAACCGAAAATATTATCTTCAGAGGCATCTTTTGGCTATGCATGAAGCTATTTGGTAAGTCCTATTTCAATTTTTATATGATCGAGTAACATTTATATAGAAAAATCTAATAAAAACATTTATGTAAAATTTGCAGCATCGACAAGGTAAATGTTACGGGATACTTTATATGGTCGTTGTTGGATAACTTCGAGTGGCAAAATGGTTATAAGCACAGATTCGGACTCTATTACATTGATTACAAAAATAACCTCACACGTTATGAGAAAGAATCCGGAAAGTATTACAAAGAATTCCTCAGTCAAGGTGTTCGTCCATCTGCGGTCAAGAGGGACGAGCTTTGAGTTATATTTCGAGGATTTGGTTTTGTTTCAATGTTTCTGTCTTCTGTTTAGTTTGTGATTGACCAAGATTCATGAGGTCTTGGTTAGAATAAAAGTGTTTTTTTTTTCATTTCTCAGCGTCTTCGTGATTTGACTATTTGTAGAAGACTTTGATTCTAATTAATTAAAGTATCCTTTTTACAAGTCGTTATTTATATGTGAAGTTATATATTTTTACCTTCAAAACCTATAAAAATTGCATTGTATAACCTAAAACAAAAAGTTTATAATTTAAAAAAAAATGATGTCGCCAAAAAACCTCA